CGAATGATGAAGGTGCTAGATATAAAATTCCATATACCTTTGAAGCATGATTTTAACAAGATATATTGCATATACAAATAAAAATTACACCATCCTCTTATGTTTATTTACGGTAGTAAATATTTTAAACAAACAACTAGCTCGCGCGTCAGCCTGGCACTTTACCCATTTCCAATTAAAATATAAATCAGAGCAACGTAAACAAAATCGAAATTTAGATGAACACTGAAAGAAGCTAACGAACTGAGAAATAAATCAAATCACCAGGTCCCAAAAGCCGTTTACGTCATCGTTCGAACTGAAATCAATCAGGGGGGCGCTGGAGCGATATACAGGGTGATAAACTTTGTTTGATTAAGTGTATTTACATCAGTTTTTCTTGGTAAATGAAATAATGTTGGTCTTACTTTGATTTGTCATAAAGTATTTGCATATATTGAGGGAATGATTTAGCCATTGTACAATTTTTACCCTAGCAAAAATCTTTTTTTAACTTCAAATAAATGACTTTTGAGACACTAATACGTGATTTTTTTGCCATGACTATGTGCATATAACTAGATTCAATTATTCAATTTGCCTTTAACTTTCCTTTTCTGTGTAAAAAGTTACAATATTTTTGTAGGCAGGAAGAATACCGCACTACTCCGCCCTACTCTGTACGTATCTTTTCAAAGTCAAGTGTATATTATGTACACGCGTCACATAACTCTTTATCAATTTCTGTAATATATTTATAGACGGAGGAAAATCTCGGCTTATAACTAAACATTCTCTGTAACCTGCGTCACACTCGGTGCAATATTTCTATTAAAATTGTCAGATGGTTCTCTCTATAAAAAAATGTCAAGTGTAAACAGAACTATGCAAATAAACAAACTATATTGAACCTTGTGGGTTAAATTTTCAGCGAATATAAATTCCGTCTAAAAAGAAGTATGGAAATATGACATGTTAATAAGGTTTGTACCTTATTAGTAGACCGTTTTCAAACTTCAGCTAAAAAGTAATCGTAAAAATCCATTATGAGGAGTTCGATTTACTTATATTGTGCTCTTAGAGAAATAGGTTTTCGGAAAAATTAAAAAATTCGAATATATCGACAACTCTCGATTTGTGAACCCATGCTGCATGAACATTTCGGTTTAGGTATTTGGATCCGCTGAAAAAGTTACGTTTAAATAATTTTATGAATGAAATACCTACGTGGTCACATTTATAATCAACTGGACATCATCAGCATAACGATATGTGTTTTTTAACATTTTTTTTGCGCTTCTCATACATTTTTAAAGCGGACGGTTGACTTTTTCAAGGTGACTTTATAATAATAATAAATTCATTTGTTTATAGTCTACAAAAACGTGTTTGCTGGAATTTCTTCTGTGAAATATCCAGACTTACTCCCACCAGAAAAATTGTTCTAAAGTTTCGTTGGAAATGCTAAGGTAAGCTATAAAATAACATAGCACTGAAGAGAACAATGTAATAGATATACGTAAAACGATTACATATTTTTTGTCCTAAATCGCTCATGTTTTGAATTTGCCGCATGATAGTGAGGGACAAAATGACACGTTCGAATGTTTAACAGGAAATATTGGTAATTATTCCATCATCGTTATTTAAATTGTGGTTTAAATATATTCAGTAAAACAAAGGGAAAGGAAGAGACGTGCAATTATCGCTAAAGATTCTGTAAATATTATAATGAATCAGAAAATGAGTAACAACCGGGAACAACCGATGTGGCATAGTTTATATCAAAACTAAACAGTAAGTCCTGAATCATAAAAAATTATCATGCTTTCCCTGATGTCAAAAGAATTATAAAAGTAAGTTATTTAAAGTAGGTAGACCTACAGGATGTAACAAAAATTAACAAACACAAAATAAGCCATATAATTTTTCTAAAATAGTTCGTTGAGGAGATAATGAAAAATCTGACAGTTTGTTGACTAACACTTGTGTTGATTTTTTTATAGATATATATTTTTTTTCAAGTTCTACTTCATTATTTCAGAAAAAATCGAATAACTGAAAACGAAGTCAGGGGCGAAATATAAAGGGTTCCTTTTAGTTACATTCTGTATACTATAATTTTGTTGTAGCTTTACAAACAAATCATACTATGTTCCATGACATATTGTCACCACATACCATACTATCAGGTACTTCAAACTCACTATTAAATTAGTATGCACGTCTTTCACGGGCCTGAGAATATGAGGAAGGGTTCTTACATTACTTAAGAAGCTAAGTATGTATGTAGTATGCGCTTAATGTAGGCATGAAAATAATACAAAAACCGTTGTTTACGATTGTTGTTTTAGAATAGCAAATTATTTTTATAATTTGGCATATGTGCCAAGGGCAATATACAATTTTGAGTGACGTTACGCATCTCAAAAACAAAAAGAAATATCGATTTTAGGAATTAATATAAGTGTTGAATTCGGGGTTGAGATTTGTTCTGTTTAAGGCTGGTAATAGACAAGAAATCCAACCAGGAAGTGGCGAAGTGTAACGATAAACTAGAGCAACTTAATTTTTCACGTTGAAAGATCACGAAGAATATATAAACATCAGAAAATGCACCCTTCCTGTTTTGTCCAGCAAATTTGTAAAGATACGCAATAATTGCGATTAATGCTTGTGTTAATAGCTTCCTGAAAGCATTCTACGGGGTGTGATTATGTTTATAGTACCGTACGTGATTTTCTGTATATTTGACAGACGAGTACAGTTCATGAAATGTAATAATAGACGTAAGAAGTAAAAATATGATTTTTTTCTTATTCTGAATGTTTTGTCAGCTTGTAAACTGTCTAATGCCCTGGAAAAACTTGAATAACTGGTACAGTGAAGAGATAATATTGTTTCTCGCTTAGATTTTCTAAAATATTGGAGAAAAAATTGCACACAGAAACGGTTTTTCTTTGAAAATTTACAATATTATTTAATGAATCGTTCATGATTGATAGATACAGTTTTTCTTAACTAGACTATTATTTTTTATTCTCATTTTAGAAATACTGGCTTCATTTGATAAGAACTTTAGGACGATTTTTAGAATCGGTTTGACTTAGCGCAATACCAGTAAAAAAAAACAAATTTGCCCATTGCATTGACAGTATAATCCGCCACTGGATACACGTTTTGTATATTAGAAAAGTGAATGAATTCTCGATAAATTATTAACTACGACAAGAAAAATGCGGTGTTTTTTGCCTTGTGTAAACTTTCCAAATGCCATCATTTTTATTCAAGCGCGCGAAGCAATGTAATCGAGATCGCGTTTATTTCAGAGATGTAAAGAATTATCCCCATTTTAACCGTCAAGTTGTCAGAAGAAAATTAATGGGAATGAATTCAAATCATAAATCATAATCCGAGTTTCTTGGTACCTACTATTACAAGAGATTATTTATATCCGTTCTCTCCGTTCCGTTAGAGCGTAATTTTTGTTATTCTTAGGATTTTTTAAGACAAAAGTTATAAATATAGATATCTACTTAGCGTATTCTCAATGGCGACTGAAATATACAGGGTGTCCGGAAAGGTCATGTCAAAAATGAAGGGGTGTACAAGGGAGCTCAAAATAGTTGTAGTACTTCATAAAAAAAAATTTCCTATCGGGCTTCGTTGTGGTGTTATTCTCCTTCAAAGAAAGAGGTTTGAAAAACAAATTGCAATTATAACTTTTAAATCGTTACCATGACAACAATGAAATTTGGGCAATTAAACTAAATCATGGTAATGTTCTTGTCTAAAACTTTGTTAAAAAAAAGGTATACCATATATCAGTCGATATCTTGTACCGTTTTTGAGAAAATCGAGAGAATGTTGATTGTTTATTACAGATGTTCTGAAAGCTACATAAAATATACAGAGTTCTACGTATTATCTGAAATATTCAGGTTAGAATTTAAAAAATTTTTTTTCTCAAAAACTGGGTTCGACCGCACAAAAAAAACTTCAGATTCGTGTTCAGAACCATCGAAAACAGGGGGGGTAGACAAAATTTTGTGAAAATTGGAGAGGGTGCCACTATAGTAAATAATTACCAAAAAATTAAAACTTACCTCAGTCCAAAAGTTGTCATTTAAAAATATACAGGGCGTCAAAGTGGAAAATTTGTGGTCGATATTTTTAAATAACCCTCGAAATAACATTTTCCAAATTAAAGACATTGAACAAATTTTGGGGGTCGGAGGTTCTTTGAAGTGACGAATTTAAATCCGATCATAGTTAATTTTGGTATTACTTATTAGAGGTTGCCGCTTGCGACACTTTGTATGTATTTAAAATGTCAAAAATATTTTGCAAATATACGTGTAGGAACCCTTTTCGAATAGGGGTTGTCTATAATCCCTATTTTAATTTTTTATTTCGCAAATTCCGTTCAAAGTTTTTCCGTCGCGAAAGTTCTTTTGTGGGCCTAGAAATCATCCCCTAAAAAAATGTATAGGTTCCGTGCTTCATTAACAAATTATGACCATTTTAATTCTCAGCACCCGCCACTAAACAGCCCAGTTTTGGGAGGAATATGTATATTTTTCACAAATTCATCCCAGTTGCACCGGGCACCGATCCAAGTAAAAACTTTTCCTCAGACCACCCTGTATAAACATTTTTTACGGGTTTCTCTGCAGATTACATTTAAACATACCAGAATATACCTTTTGAAACTAACTACCTCCTAATTTATTAACTTAATCAAATAGGAAATAGATGTAAATAAAATTTTGTTAATTCGACTTTTTTTCCAATTGTTTTGCTGCTTGTACCTGGCAGTAACGCCAAATTCTGTCGCGTTACGTATTATCCCGGCAACGAGGTAGGGCCAGAAAAGCGAACACCCCGCAAAGCGTCGGCCAGATAATTCGGAAAAGGCAAGCCCCAATTACAACTGACCCAGATACCCGAAACGGGCTCAATAACCCCAATCAAACCGCGACGCCCGCCCGATGCCGTCGCCTGGAAGCCACCTTACGTACTTCTTTGACTCGATGGGCCGCACCAGGTCTGGTGATGAGCGCCGTGCCGTTGCACACCACGGCGGTGTCCTCCACGAAGACGCACTCCGGCAGGGCCTCGTCGGGGGGCAGCTCGATCACGTCCAGCCCCAGCTCCCTCAGCAGCCGCACGTAGTTCTCGTGCTGCTTCTTGGCCTCCTCCAGCTCGATCTCGCCGCGGGTCCTGAGGGAGAGCGGGATGCGACACACCACGGCGTGAGTGTACCGAAATGCCGCCATCTTGCGCGGACTTGCCAGCGACGCGGACCGCAACGCGACTGCGAGGGGACCGTTAGGAGTTGGTGCAAGAGGCGCGGAGCCCGCCGGAGGACATGTTATGTAACGACCGGTTCGGACGGGCGCGGGACCGCCTCGCGATGTTGTTCGGAAGTTTTTACCTGAGAAGGCGATTCGCACCTGGAGATTTTTACCTGTCGGTTGACAAAAAATTTACTAACTGACAAGTTTTATAAGTGTAACCACCTCGATATGAAAATTAGCTCTATTTGAAAAATAAAGCGTGGGAAAAAGGGGAAATAATTTTATCGCTTTACGTATTATGGATTTTACAACTTTTCCGCCCGAAACCTGAATTTTTTAAAATTTTGTTGCCTAGGTGTTCGGTTTAAATTAATTCCTGCAACTAAGAATTTGGGTATCTACATCCTGGCTGCTAAGAAGTATTCCATAAGAATAATATACAATAAACAATAGATACAATTGTCCTATTAGGGGTTACATAAGTGTATATTGTGTTGCCTACCCATAGATTATTTTTCTTCTAAACCTTAGAGCATAAACTACATGGAGTAAGCGCGCTTACAGCGACCGTGTACACGGGTGACAGAAAGAGATAGTTTGGGTACTATCTTCCTCTCCCGCGCAAGCACGTGATTGGATAAGGCAACTCCGCTCTCTAGCGTGCTGAAGCTGAACGGTTAGAGGGAGAGAAAGCAAGTACCCAAACTATCGCCTTTTCGCTCTACAGAATCTACTTTTTAACACGGTGCTTTTTCCATGCAGTAATATATGCTATAACTATCAAAATACTAAGAGTTCTCTTGTATAATAGTTATGTCTAACCTTGTACATTATGTAATAAAAATTATCTTTTTAAGTTGGGATAATAAAGGAAATTACCTTAACCTTTGTGCGTGAATCACAAATAGAGAAGAAAAAGTAGAATAGTTGTTCGGTGATCTTGATTCCATATATTTTAGACCATGCACTATTTTAAAAATTTTTGATAGTTTGATAGCACAAATTTAGTGGTAGATAAAGGTATTTATCCAATTTTATTTTACAAACTAATATGAGAATGATATGTTTTAAATAACCATTTCTATAGAATTTGTTTTTATTGATTCTCAATTATCCTTTCGTTTACAAATACATATTTAAATGTTTTCTGTTTGTTTCAGGTTTTTCTAATTCTCTGGAAAAACTACGTTACAGTATATTAGACGATTTTATTAGTTCAAGATCACACTTGTTGCTCCTGTGATGATTGAGAGGGACTTTTCCGAATGTAAGTAAGTAAGAACATTTAAGTATATTTTATTATTGCATAACTACAGAACTTATAGGAAGCGTTAGTGATACCTGAAAGTTTTCCTGTTAGGAATATTTATTTCGGGAGAAAGTAGATAAAAAAGGAATAGATATTCACAAATTTCAGAATTCCTTATGATTTATTGATGGATTAGATAAGTAGCAGTTAAGTAATGCGATTATTTAATATACAGGGTGTTTCTGAAATAAGTGCTTTCCTTGATAAGGGTGTCAGAGGGCACGAAATTAATCAGCATTTATTAAACAACTGATGGTCTAAGTGCTTCTATTTTCGAGAAAATTTACCATAAATGTAAGCTGACCCTGTGCATCTTGTGCACGTGCATGCATTGTGAGTTGCAGTGTTATTTAGCCAACATATAAAACTGATAGTACCGTATGGCGTGTACTACGGGAACAATTATTATACCGCTTTTATGTACAAAAGGTTTGGGCATTAAATAACAATGATTTTCAGCCCTGTGTGAAAAATAGCACAAGATTCGGATTTTACAATGTGCATTTTTTAGAGGAATGTTGTTTTATTAAAGAGAGCGTACTAAACGTTTACAACATTCATTGGTAAGATGAAAATCCCCACGATCTCGGTTCCAGCAACGGTTTTCAGTGAATGTGTGGTGTGGTGTGTTTGATGACAGAATTTTGACCGTTGTTTGGAAGCATGTTTATTAGCACATGAAAGCAAATTTAAACAATTTTTGTAGAGCATATCCTTTATTATTTAAACGAGATTTGAATAAGTTTCAGCATTTTCGAATACAAAATTTAAACCGTCAAAACAGCTATCTCTTTCAATCGATGTATTACTCATTTAGTCATAACTGACACTTTATTATACTTCACTTCACGTGATTGTAGATCACTGAATAGTCATCACTAATTTAGTCCGACGATTTATTCGGTTAGTTTTAGTCACAATTGAATTCAACTAATGCCCGTCTCTGATAATGTTTTATCATTTACTGACAAAATAGTCCCTCCCTCTCATATATTATCAGGCTACTGTTAGTAGATATACCCGTACACAAATTGAGTTAATTTTTTACCTTTTTTGCCATGCATTTGTGATGCTTTTTAAAAACTTAACTTTCCACAACTCACAAGTAGAGCAACATAGGGCTGAGGTATATTTGGACGAGTTATCATACTTTGGCTTTGGATATTTAAATACACCCTGCGTTAGGAGTCGCTGGTTTATCTAATACAGTATTTCCCATTCAACCAATCAGCGATCGCATTATCTCGAGTGTAAACGTAATGGTTTGTCATTGTTCATTGTATACGAATCATTAATATTGGCGATGCCAAGGTTTAGGAATATTTAGTTGACAGTACGTCGCGCAATGTTGGTTGCTTGGCTTGTAATTATCTAAGGGTGCTGTATACTTGACGATTTAATTAAATCCAGTTTGATCGCTATAGTAAGAAACATTCGATTGATCCTTCCGAAAATCCAAACGTCGGTATTCCCCACTGTCGAAAGCGCTTCTTGAAATGGGTCGGGCGAGTCGGAAAACAAACGACACGATTTAAAATACCAATTTATTTATTTAAATTATAATAGCATACAACACAGTTGTAAAGTCAATTAAAATTACAATAAAATCTAAATTAAAATTTCAACATGATAGTCAATCTATTGAGCTTGAGAGAGATGTACGATCATGTCAATAACTCGTCGCGGCCCGATAGACGAGGAGCGTTGAACCTTAAAATTAATTATCCATTAAAAAAATACAAAAATCTACAGTAGATAGAACTGTCAAGCAATGTTAATTTTGTGATGCAATGTTAAAATGTGGAATGGATACAATGAATATAATGTACTACTAACTGGATATAATATATTTCGTACATTAAGACTGCACTAACACGGATAAGCCCCGAAAGGGGCAGTCCCTGGTTCGGACTGGCGAAATCCTCTTTCGTCGGCCTGGACCTGTCGCGCGCCCTTCAGGGCTTGTCGGACATACAATTGCTTACGATAGAAAAAAAAAACTAGCTAAAATTATTTATACAAACAATTAACCTTAACTATGCAATGAATATATTTTATGAATAAAACTGTCCTCTATATTTTATAAAAAAAGCTACAATCATCTTTCACTGACGAGTATTTCAAATATATTCCAATAAAAAATGTGTTAATATATGGATGAATCTTATACACTAGATTGTTGCACATAGTTTGAGATATAAAATCAAAGTATTTATAAGGTTTAAGTAAAAAGGAAAAAGGAAAAGGGATATAGGTGCCTCGGCAGTGGGCTCGGGAGACCGTCGGGTCTCTTTATTTTCCTTCCTTCTCTTTGTTCTCTGCCGTCTCTTTCTCTTTAGCTTTGTCCTTCTCCTTTTCGTCAGCCTATCAAACAGAGACATTCATTACAGCCAAGACAACAATTTTAGTAACTTTGTTAGAGATGCCGATCCTAGTCTAATTCAGGGTAAATTTAACTACAAGGCACAAGCGCAGCTCTTTCATTCTCAACAGAATTTTATTCCGTTTCTAAACTAATCTGGGACCGCTACTTGTGAACAAAGCTACTTTTAAATTATTTCCTTCAATATCAAAGCCGGTATCAGCCGATGGAATCCCAATTTTATATTTCCTAAACTTAAAAACTCAGACATCCTTGTACATACCTTCTCCTTCTCTATGTCCTTCTCCTCGGGCTCCTTCTCCTTGTCGCCTTCCTTCTCGTCTTTGCTCTCCTCCTTGTTGTCTTTGGATTCCTCTGGAGCGGGCTTAGGCAGATGAGAGTTCAAGTCCAGGGTCGTGCAGATGTCGTCCCAGTCGGGGAAGCAACGCTCCTTCATGCGATTCACAAGGCCTACAAGGTTTGGACAGGATTCGGTCATGAAATCGCGGAGGGAGTAGCTCACCTCCTTGTCGATGAAGTAGATTTGAGCGAGGTGGGCAAACACAACTACGTCCAACTGAAAAATGCATAAAATAATTTTTTGAACATATTAGATTTGCATTGTCAACACAAATACTCACATTCGTGGGCTCGTCTCCGAAGAAGAAAGGTTTATCGGCGAGCATGTCGGAGAGCACCTTCAGATCCTCCTGTCCGAACTCGTTGATCTCTTCCGCCGAATGGACTCCTATACCCTGGGCTTTTACCTTTTTCGAACCCTGGAACCACTAAATTGTCAATGTTGGATTAAAAAAACACCTCTAAGAACACAATGCTGGAAGAGACATGCTTCTACACCGATACGGATGCAGGGAGCAGTTAAGACAAAGAAAATGAAAAGGACCAGTGCCACCACCAGAACCAAAGATTAATAACTGTTAATTACTGCATTTGTTGGATACAACATGAATGGTGGATACTATGTTAATATCTGCAGATTTATGCTAAAAAGAATCGACTAAATTGAAAAGTGAAATTGTCAAACCTATATGTATGTAATTTTTATATTTATCGACAGTTTTTAATTAACTTCCTTTGCCAAATAGGTCTGCTACAGTGTGTATGGTAAAAAAACACATTATTGAAGTATGACGCAGAACACTCTATATATCTTTTTTGTAATAAAAATTGATCTATCTAAACAAATTGCAGCAAAAACTTTCATTGAATTACAAAGGTGAGAAATATAAAATTAATTTTAATAAGTGGGAAACCAACAGGCACCAATCATTTCTTTATGTTAACTTGGTTATTAAATCGAAATGGATGCCATGTCAGATGCATAACTGAAAAAATTAATGGCAATGAAAAAAAAAACGTAACATGAACGGCATGCATCTAACATTTTTTGCAAACCATAAATATCTAATTATGTATCTATTAATTAAAATAAATAATAAAATGATGTTAGTAACAATGATTAAATAACACAATATAGGATATTAGTACCAAGTTGAAAATGTGATTTGAATAAAAAATATATAATGCATTGGTCTAAAACAAATTTATAAAAAAAATAGAGGTGAACAGTTTTAAAATTTTTATCACCCATTTCAAATTGGTACATCTGAAATATAGTACCTTGCATAAAGCAAACTGACATGAAATTATATACAAAATTAGGATTAGGATAGTCTTGATGGGAATTAATTTGCCTAAGCGTGTTTCAAATTGACTGCCACTTTTATCGTTTAATCAAGTCCAAGCCCATCAAGACTTTTTCCTCCCCCTCAATTTAATAAAGTCTGCCTGCTCCGCACCACATCCCTAAATCAGATCCTTCCATAAACCGGATTCAAACGATTCTAATAGCAATATAATATCAGACAAGTTTTATTGCGCCATATTTTCCCCCGGTGATTTTTCGATAGTTCGATCGTCAAATTTATAGACCTTATGTAAGAACAGGAGCCCAACCTACGGCGTGGAAACGATTACGGTATCTGCAGAGGACGGGAAGAGCAGGCAGCGCTGATCGCGAAAATTCTATTCTAGGAAGAGTTTACATTGCAGAGACTTAACGAAGTTAGACGCGAGGAATCCTCGAGGAAATCAAGATTGACGTCTCAATGTTATTAGCCGTAGGAAAGTTACGTTGCGCGCTGTTTCTGCGTTCGAACGCGAGGGTGATTTTTTTTTAATTTCTTTGATGTTGAAGACGTGGAAGATGGCCATGAATTAACGTTCGTCAAATGAATGTGGTCTACGGAATTTAATTTCGTCAACAGCAAATATAGTCGTCGCAAGACATTTATGATTTTATGGCGTTAGCGACTATGACGTCATTAAAGCAGTAGTTACAACGCAAAAAAATCTTGAAGCAGAACTATTAGAGGTGTTTCAATATCTCATGAGCCGCGAAATGCGCGAAAGGCGTGGCGTATCCGCATAATTCTTCTAATAAGCACGTTGTGAAAACATTGACTCAGAACTAGACCATGTGCATTATTACAAGTAGAAATGAAGTAAGGCGCTCGGGCATCAATAAAGTCAACTGGCGAACGTTCGCCGTTATATATATTTATATATATTTTTATTGTTTAATTTAAAGTAATAAAGAATAGGACATTTTATTATGATATTTGTAATCGGATCAAAGGCTTGTTTACGCTACGAGAGCTCGAGAGAGAGACTGTGAATAATTGGTGTAATGTTTTTAGGACGTAGAATAATTTAGGCGACGGTCGGAATTATGTTTCTGCGCATATGAAGGTCAAAGCTCATAAGATTTTAAAACACCTCTACATGCCACGAGGAAAATATTCCCTCTTTTTTCGTAACCTTCCTAGATTTCTGCTTATTCTGCACAATATTAAAACCACGATGCTAACTAAACGTCGAACTAGAACTAAAACGAGATCGGTAAAAGAGAAATCCTACCTTTCTGCCAAATGCGAATTTGAAGAAGAAATTGAGGATGCCGTTGGGTATCCTGGTGCCGAGGGCGTGCTGCAGGTTGACCTTGTAACCTTTGAGGACCTGGTCGGGGTACTTGGTGCGCCACCACATCACCACCCAGGCGAGGTGGTTCTCGATCATGGAGATGGTGGCGTGCGCGAGGTTCCTCTGTTCGATGCTGAGGCCGGCGTCGAGGTCGTGGCCGAATTTCTGCGACAGCTCCTTGATGATGATGGCACTGTCGGCGATCTCCTCACCGTTGAGCTCCACGAACGGCAGCTGGCCCTTCTTTGAGCGGTACTTCATCTTGTGGTCCACATTCTGGAACGGAGATATTTACTGTAGATTCGCCAGTTAATTTGAAAACAATGAACTATTTAAAAAAAATACAACGGAGCTATACACGGATACAAATAGGTTTGTGCTTCTGACTGAGGCAGAGCTGCGCGAGTGAGAAAGAACGCATTCGGCTAAAAAGAATAAGACGCAGGCTCGGCAATTTGGGATAAGAGCGTTTCCCTTGCCATGCCCAGTGCGCATGTGTGGGCGGAGCTATCAGACGCAAACTTATTTGTATGGGTCTGTACTAATATTACTGTACATTATATTACACTATAATATAAAAGCGTTTAAGGTTTAAGTATGGAATGTGCTATATGTTCAACTTAAAAACAGACGCTCTTTCCAGAAATGCAATAATATACGAGGGGTTCCATTTAAAATAAGAAAGTTAGACTTATCGACTTCCGGTACAACTGTAAGTACGATGACCGTGAAAATAACGATTGGACCTATTTTTATCGTAAAACCCTGTAGATATTTAATCGATATACGTACGTTAAAAAAGAAATAAAATAAATACAGAGATGCTTTTGCCGAGGCCCCCGTCGAATGTTTGTTTTTCTTGCCGTTAAACTCCGTTAAATTTAGCTTATCACAAAGAGGCATTTATACGCCTGCACCTCACTTACAGACAATTAACTGCCGCACGGTTATTCCGCGATTGAGCCACAGGCAGTTTTTATTGTACACTAATTGGGCCTGACGGATCGACGACGCCGTTATGGATTCGTTATTGCGCCTCCTCTGTATGCTGACTCTCATTAGGGATCGGCCTCTGGATGCAAATGAATGGCGGCTTTGTACTGTTGCAACGGATTGCACAAAACCGCGGGTCAAGCGGAATGTCGGCGCGGGACGGTTTCGCAACGTTGCTGGTTTTTATGGGACGGTTCCCAGGCGTTTTCAGGCCGTCTCCGTTACGGGATGCAAGCGATGGTGTTGTCTGTTATACTTTGAGATTGCGGTGTTCGTTAATTTGTTAAAATCTCCCACAACATTCGAAATATACAGCTCAGGATATCTTAGTGATGAAAAATCAAAGTGTGAAATTGACTAAGTTTTGAATGATTTCAAATAATTCATTTTTAAGTAGGTACCTACATTATGATTGCATCCTAGGTAATAAAATCTCAATTTCTGTGCGTTTCAAACGGTTCCATTAGAATGTTTTAGCAGAGTATTTGTTTATATCGACAAAACAACAAATTTATATACACATAAAATATGATCCTCGGTACTTAAGTCTGTTTTAAAATCTATTTATATACAGCGTCGACAAAATGTGTTGACCACATGTGGGCTGCGTAAGGAAGAAATGTAGGTAACATCCTATGTAAGGAATGCCATGTAATTACTGGTATGGCCTTGCATTTTTCACATTCCGACAACTAACGATCCTATGATACCAGAATGTAAAAGAAGTCAATGTGAATTTCGACTCAACAATTCTAAAAACCTAAAATGTCGAACAAAATTCGACAAAAACACTAAAATTTATGTCAGGCAATACTTGATGTTCGTAGGATATTTAGACTTTCTTTCCTAAACCCTGTTTTGTTTCTAGACAGTGGTTTCCTAAATTTTGAATAGTGTTATTTCATTTGTTAATGTGAATTTTATATTATTTTGTTAAAAATTTATAGGTGTCGACTGAATTTATTTAAATTTGAGCGATATTGCCAGATTTATCAGAACTAAATAATAGTTTTTCTGTGGCTTAAGGTACAGCGTTGGATAATTAAAAAAAGTTCATTTCGTTGGACATACACACACACAAAAAAGACTATTCAAGTCGAAACACCGTAAAATTCTTCGTAAAAAGTTATTATATATTTTCAAAAACGCACTGCTTTTTCTAATATCTTTTTAATTTTTGATATATTGCTTTATTTAATATAATAATTTTTAGAACATTTAACGGCGTCTTTATCTCTTATATTTTTCGTGATATTCATGCATCGAAAAAATGACCCGCCTGTTACAATAAAAAATTAACACCCCTGCTCTGTTCCAACGTGTCTTTCATATCTCAATCGCGCCTCCAGACCAGAGTGGTCGAGGGCTTCAACTATCGATTCGCGGTGTACGCACACAAGGGGTCATTTTAGAAATTACCAATTTAGAGAAACGTTTGGCACCCCTGGCATACATAGCCGGCTTGATCAATACGATTCAGTACTCGCGACGCAACCCCGGTCGTGACACCCCCCACCCCACCCGTCGGCGGGCGTCTGCCGCGTCGTCATGACGACTGGCGTCCCTCTCGCCGCCCCTCCGCCCCGGGACGCCGTTATCAGCTTCGGTCGAGTGTGTTTGTACTTTGTATCTATTTTACGTAACTTTTCGATTGGGCACAATCGCGGCAGGCGCTGTTAGTCCGTCGGTGTGAAAAAACTAAACATCCCTTAAATATAACAGAGCGACAAAAGTATTTATCGACTACCGCAACAGATTTACGCGCAAATTATTTGAGGGGTTACAAACATCCCTTAAATATTAAATTAAGTAACTACTAACCGGACCTAGATCTAGAAATGCGATATGGTGTATAAAGTAAAGCTTTCCTAAAACGACTGCCGAAAGGGCTAAATTATATGGAGGGTTCAAATACCCCGGAAAAATACACGGAGGCACGCAAAAAAAAAGTCCAAACCCAAGACACTCGCATATCAATTTCGAAGCAATTCGATGCCCTGAACACGATCATGTATGTAGTCAGAATTCATGACTTCCCTATGAATTTCGAAAAAATGAAATTTTTGGGTGTAAACTGGCCCAAAACTGATTGTTTCCTAAATTTTATCCAAATACATCATTTTAGTAGTATTTTGAGATTTTTGAGGCACTAAACACGACGATATTAGTAAAATTTACCCAAGACCTCGTATTCCTCAGAAAATGCACTATTTGGGTGAAAACTAACCCACATATGGGTCAAAACTTTCCTAGTTGAAAATTAAATACAGGTATGTAAAATTAGCACTAATTTTGGATTTTTTGAGAAATATCGAGGTCAGAGGTACACTCACTACTGGTATCGTATTAAGCGTTTCAAGATACTATGAAAATTATATATTTGGACAAAATTTAGAAGAAAATCAGTTTTGGCTCATATTTCGACCAGTTTTCTCCGAAATTCATGAAATCATGAAATTTTGACTACAGGATCGTATTCAGCGTATCTAATTGTGGAAATGATATGTGGGTCTCTCGGGTTTAAACTTTTTTGTGTGCCTGTTGTTGGCTGAAAATGTTCTTAGAAACATTTCTCTTTAACAAATCAAAGCCTGTTTAATTCACTACTGATATCTTGTTTTTTTTTTGTTAAGGTTTAAGAACGAATATATAGTTAAAAATTTTGCCGAGTATAAGCATTTTTTGTATTCTTTTTTTCAGGAGGATTTCTGCAGGAAAACAGAAGGAGCAGCATTCGAAGATGTATGTTCCCAGTACCTAGACGTTGAATAGATCGTCTGGGGCTGGGAGTATATTTTTGATGTTGCTTCGATCGACGTGGCTACAAGAAAACGCAGCGTACAAATTCGCACGAAGAAACCAAATTCATTTTTTCCCTGGCAAAATGCATCTTTGTCCTTTTTTGTTACATACCGGCAAGCACTATTTTGTTAAATTAAAATAAAAGTTTCAATTAAATTTAAGACAGAGTTAATGTGGTTAAATTCTTAGCTACCTATTTTCCCTGCCGAATTTTTTGCTCCATTTTTTATTATAAAAAATTTCCCCTCCGCCCTCCCAACGAATTTTTTGCTCCATTTTTTATTATAAAAAATTTCCCCTCCGCCCTCCCACCGAATTTTTTGCTCCATTTTTTGTCATAAAAAATTTCCCCTCCGCCCTCCNTTTTGCTCCATTTTTTATTATAAAAAATTTCCCCTCCGCCCTCCCAACGAATTTTTTGCTCCATTTTTTATTATAAAAAATTTCCCCTCCGCCCTCCCACCGAATTTTTTGCTCCATTTTTTGTCATAAAAAATTTCCCCTCCGCCCTCCCTACGATTTTTTTGCCCCATTTTTTGTCGATTTTTAACAAAAAAACAAAAATAAAAATTTCAATTAAATTTTAAGGAAAATAGCGACGATTTTTTGTTAAATTGTTTGCTCCATTTTTTGTTATAAAAAATTTCCCCTCCGCCCTCCCACCGAATTTTTTGCTCCATTTTTTGCCATACAAAATTTCCCCTCCGCCCTCCCTACGATTTTTTTGCTCCATTTTTTGTCGATTTTTAACAAAAAACAAAAATACAAATTTCAATTAAATTTTAAGGAAAATAGCGACGATTTTTTGTTAAATTTTTTGCTCCATTTTTTGTTATAAAAAATTTCCCCTCCGCCCTCCCACCGAATTTTTTGCTCCATTTTTTGCCATAAAAAATTTCCCCTCCGCCCTCCCTACGATTTTTTTGCTCCATTTTTTGTCGATTTTTAACAAAAAACAAAAATACAAATTTCAATTAAATTTTAAGGAAAATAGCGACGATTTTTTGTTAAATTTTTTGCTCCATTTTTTGTTATAAAAAATTTCCCCTCCGCCCTCCCTCCGAATTTTTTGCTCCATTTTTTGCCATAAAAAATTTCCCCTCCGCCCTCCCTCCGATTTTTTTGCTCCATTTTTTGTTGATTTTTAACAAAAAACAAAAATATAAATTTCAATTAAATTTTAAGGAAAATAGCGCCGATTTTTTGTTAAATTTTTTGCTCCATTTTTTGTTATAAAAAATTTCCCCTCCGCCCTCCCAACGAATTTTTTGCTCCATTTTTTGCCATAAAAAATTTCCCCTCCGCCCTCCCTACGATTTTTTTGCACCATTTTTTGTCGATTTTCTACAAAAAAAATTAGCAAAAAATTTCCTCGCTCCGGATTAGAAATTGTAAATTAAAATTAAATTTTAAATAAAATAGTTTTTCTTGTTGAATTTTTTGTGGATATACTCCCCTGCCATTTCAGGCTTGACCGAGAGGGGAATTTGTTTTTAACAAAAAAATTAATCTCTCGTTCCACACTTTTCCAGATTATTTCCAGATTGCCTGAACAATAACTTAATTTGAATTTTATGATTTTAAGGAATTGTTACCGTTTTAGTTTGATTGTATCAATGAAATTCATGAAATTTCACTTTTTAAATAAAACAGAAAAGAAGCCAAAAGTAAAATTTATTAATAATATCACAATATCTCTTCCACCAATATATAACACAATTTAATACATTGTAATAACTGATATATAAGATAAGGGTTGCCTAATAGCTTCATGCTTCGAAGATACAGGAGGAATGCGACACACCGGCTTTCCGTCGTTTCTCGACTGGTTTTGATGGTTCCGATTACGCAACATATTTCACCGTCTTCGTGGTCTAATTAACACTTTTCGAAAACTCGAGAGAATTCTATAAAATGAAAGAAAAGGATTGTTACATACAGGGTGCTTTGTACTATAATACACAATAAAACGATTAGCCATTTAGACAATGCACTGTTTTTTGTAGAAAAAAAAAACTCGCATTTTTCTCGGAAATTTTGAATAATTCACTCGCATTGCAAAAAATATATATCTCAATAATAAGAAGTTGGAATCATTTTTTCATAGCACCTGATCCCCCTTAAATTTCACTTTAAAACCTGGTTATTACACTCAAAATAAAAAACGTGACCAAAATTTCATTATACCAACCAAGAAAATTCCACGTAATTCTATTTTCGCTATGCTCTCTCATAACAAGGCAACTTTAATCTAGTAAACACCGACTAAGGTCTATTTTTAATACTTATTAGCTTATAAAAAAAAGTTTCCCAACAGATAAAACTTTCACTTTCCTATCGGTTGTAATCCAATTTGACTCGGTTAAGCCCACTTCAAAAGCGACGCTGCGGAAAATTACCAGGCGATAACCAATCATGCCATGGCCGTTATAAAAGCTTCTCCACGTTCAATTAACAATCAAGAAGACGACATCGTCGCCTCCAAGTTGGGGGGTGTCGAATGACGCCGAGATTAGTTCAAGGCTCTCGCCTGGTTTGTGGTTTCACTTGTCTCGAACCCGGGTGACATAGGGTTTCCTTCCATCGGGGTGTCGTCGAGTAATTCGTTCGTCCCGCCGATAAAATTCTTGAGATACCATACCGTGCTATCGGGAACCGCAATCGATAAGGCGAGGGAGACGAAGAAAATAGGCAGGATCCATTGAATTAGGAAGAAAAAGGAAGAGTGTTCTGTTACACTGGGCTAAAATCAGTTGGGAGAAAAATGTAATCAACACAGAAGGGGTACGGACATGTATCAAATTCCAATCAATATAGTAGTAGTATACGGTGACCATATCTTCTTTTCAGAAAAAAAAAAGTATAAAATTTAGAGAAATAAAACATAAATGCAAAAATACTTTATAAACGTAAAATATATCTTTTTATTGGACCAAACTATCTTATTTCCATTGAAAATAAATACATAAAATAACTAAACATAATTTATATACCGGGTGACCACGAGATTGCTACCCAGGCTCTAGCTTAGGCATGGAAAAATATATCGATTTCAAATTTTGGGCATGCAAAATTTACTCATAAAAATAACTGACCGTCACTTTCTGTTTGACCGGAAATGCCCTAAACTTTGTTATTTCATATGGATCGCCCTGTATATTATTTTTGTTTTCAATTCTGCTGAAGAAATAAGTTATCATATGACTTTGTCCCTTTCTTCGTTTTCTTTCAAAAGGATTTTATAAATAACACATTTGACATTTTAAAGCGCGATTTTCTCGGAAACTGTCAAAGGTATAGGACATAATACATATTTTAGTGTTAGTTCGTTCAGCAGAATTGAAAACTATAGAACCGATTTTAATGAAATTTGTTGTTTTGTTTTATTATACTCTAGTTTTTTTTTACCAAAATTAGAACGCCCTCGGAGCAATTAAGATATTTAAAAAAATTATCCCAAAAACTTGATTATTTTGTCTTTGATCATCAATTATTGCTATTTTGCAACATCGCGCGTCGGTAATAAATTTAAACATTTTAACTTACAGTATATTGTGCAAAATTCAATTCTAAAACGTTTTTCCTCTTCAATATTCTTTTAAAATGCATAGGTTCCAAGCATAGACCTTATAAACTACTGGACTCGCCCAACTGTCATTTTGCCTATATAAACGGCAATCGCTCAGACGTGTGCGAGAGAGATGGAGCTTGTAAGGGCTTAAGCTTCGTTCACAGAATTTCAACTGCAGCGCGCTACATTTAATTCAACCAATCAGCTAGCTATACTCGATTACTTACCCCTTTCTTCTGTTGGGCCGTATTCAAAGACTTTATAAAAATAATATAGAGATCAAAAGACAAAAAAAATCATTTTTTCCAATAGTGTAGGTATGTAAAAGGTTTTATTATCATTACTGGCCTAATGTAACAGTACAATATATTTGAATTGTTTTAGCTATAATATTCCAAGTAGTTTTTATATTGCTTTATTTATGTATTTCTCCATTTATTTTCCATTTCAAATATTTCATATTTTCTTGCTTTGCAGAACTGTATAAATTGATGTTTTCTTCGTTCAACATATTATTTGAATTTTTGTTAAGCACATTTCAGTTAAAACATTTTCATTATATTCGGATTGATGTTAAAAAATAATTTAAGGGCCCCATATTCTTTAAATAGTGTTTTCCGCAAAGACAAATAATTTCAAACATTTAATAACTGAATAATCTAAAGCTTATCAAATAATAGGAATGTTATGTCATGCCATCTGGTTATTTTCAAAGACGCCGCAGTAAAACGAATAAACAGGTGCAAAAAACGATCAAACCATCAAGGTTTTAGGTACTGAAATCTTCGAAAATACTAACTTTTTTATATATAATTCCACATGTAAATATTCTTATAACATTTACTTGCTTAGTCCTACATATAAAATTGTTTACTTTTATTTATAAGTACGTGAAAATAATTCTTAAAATGTGGGGTTAGAATAACAGCAAACGCATGTTTTACAAACGCTTTTTTTTTAGTTATTATTTTATTTGAGTAAATTTAAATGGTAACAATGAATAAACAAAACATCAAGGATTTTATTTTTGTGCTTACTTTTGTTCTACACGTTTTACTTTCAAAGATTTCAGTACCTAAAAACGCCAGAAATTTCACTATTTCTCGGCCGGGAATATGGCCACCTTAAAGAGTAACACATTTAAAAGCGGCAAAATTTGGACGTTAAAATGACATTTTATTTTAAAGATGGGGGAAATAATATAATCTAATAAGTTATCATCGGAAACAACTCTACTTGGCTATTGTTTTCAGAAAGATGCAAAAGGTATAAACATGCCCCTCTTACATCCAAGAAGTGCGATATTTCGACAGATCCGCCCGGTCTATTGACAGTACGATCCGTATCGCTTTATCATCGACACTTTGGAGAGGCACTTTTCATTGCACCGAATTCTGGCCCGCGTACAGAAAAATAGTTTATCAAACAAATACAACGCCTGTCAAGACAAATAATTCGCAATTACGCGCCCCGGTCCTGCCTCTATAAATCATGTTCGTGAATAGGGCTGTACTTGAAATTGAATCGACA